CCCTTCTCGGAGAAAATTTTTCCATTTGTAATAGACTTAATTAGACTGTATCACTGGATGGAAAGTTTTTTTTTTTTTTCAACTTAAGGGAATGATCTTTCATTTCTTAAAAAAAATGTAAGTTCTCAAACAGGTTTCTTAGGTTATCAAAGAAAAAAATTGAATAAGGAAATTATCACCCTTTTTGTTCATATCTGATTATATTAGGAGAAGTAAAACACACACATTGCTTTATAATTTTTACATAAAGCTAAACCAAGGGAGTCTGAGCTGTATATGGTTTTTAGATTTTAAAATGTTTACTAGAATTGATCTATTATAAGAAATTTCCAGTTCAGTGTCCACATTTCTCAACTTTAAAGAGCAAAAACTTCCTCTCTTCTAAGAGCTATGTTTTGGGGGTTGTATTACAATAAGAATTTATACTTGTCAGTTATAATCTATTATCAAAAGTGTGTTCATAGAGCAGTGCTGGGTTGGTGATTAAGATGCTGGTTGGGGCCAGCACCGCGGCTCACTAGGCTAATCCTCTGCCTGCAACGCCGGCACCCAGGGTTCTAGTCCCATTTGGGGCTCTGGTTCTGTCCCGGTTGTTCCTCTTCCAGTCCAGCTCACTGCTGTGCCCCGGAAAGGCAGTGGAGGATGGCCCAAGTGCTTGGGCCCCTGCACCCTCGTGGGAGACCAGGAGGAAGCACCTGGCTCCTGGCTTCAGATTGGCACAGTGCTGCCTATAGTGGCCATTTGGGGAGTGAACCAACGGAAGGAAGACCTTTCTCTCTGTCTCTCTCTCTGTCTAACTGCCTGTCCAAAAAAAAAAAAAAAAAAAAAAATGCTGGTTGGGATGTCCACATCTCATATTACAGTATCTTGGCTTGGGTCATGGCTGATCATTTCCAGGTTCCTGTTAGTGCACACACATGGGAGACCTGGACTGAATTCCCAGCTTCCAGTCTTGGCCTGGTCTAGCCTGAGCTAATACAGGCATTTAAAGAGTTAGCAAGATGAGGAGAACTCTCTCGCTGTCTGCCTCTCTCTTTCTGTCTCTCAAATAAATAAATGCATAAATAAATAAATATTGTAACGTGCATTCTGAGTAATTTTTCTGAGAACTTTCTCACATATGAAATTTAAATTTGGGATCTATTAATGTTGTTGCTACAGGCAGAGAGGTAGTGAGCAAGGAGGAGTTGAAATTGCCAACGCCTCCCTGCACTACAGCCCCATCTGCACTACCTAACCCCAACTTCCACGCAGCAGAGAATTGCAGCTTCTGCTGTTTTTCTGCTGACACTGATGCCAGCTAAAAATAACCCACATGACTGCCAGCTGAGTCCTTATGATGACAGCTCATAATAAGGTCATTGAATTGAAATTACTATGGCTCACACACCTACTCCCATCATGCACATGATATCATGACTTGTCCAAGTTTTCCAAAACTGGGCAAGGAAATGGGTGGTGCTCAAGCCCTGCCTCAAACTCTTCCCTCTTTGAATATTCAATTAAGCCCCATCCAGACACCACCCCCATGCTTCCAGTTCATACAAGAGGATGGACTCAAACTCACGGAGTGTTTCTCGCTCTTGAGTATTCCACACTCCTCCATTAGAGTGTACTTTCACCTTGTGTGTAAATAAATCTTGCTTCTTTGCTGACCTTCAACTGTGTCTGGTTTTCATATTCTTTTGTTGAATCAGAAACAAGAATCTGGACCTAGCCACCACACTGTTTCTGGCAAGCCATCCAGGAGGAAGTAAGAGTTGAAAGTCCACACAGACACGGGCTAGTGAATTTTTCTCCCACTTCTTGCATCAGTGGTGCTTAAAAGTCTTTGTTTTGTTATGCTCTTCTCTCCTTCATTCTGACCCACTATGGACCCACTCTCCTTAATCCAACCTTGTCTGCTCCCTCCAGCAACTGTTGGAAGTGAGAAAACCAAGAGCAATACCATGCAGATGAGGTACATTTGTGGTTTTCATGAAGGTTTACAGGAGTGGCTGGGAATCTTCTATCATCTCCATGCCTCACAGAGGCCCAGTCCTCAGGCAAGGTCAAAAAGGCCAAAAGGTATCTTAAAAGGACTCTTGCTGAGCTATGCCAGGAGACCCCAGAATCCTGGGCCAAACTATTGTTCCTTGACTTCTTTAAAATGGGGATAGAACTGAAGGATACTTTACAACTAAACCGTTTTGAGATGTTATATTTTAGGCCCTTCCTCATTTAATATCCTTTTTGATTCAGATAGCCAAGATTGGAAAAAAAAAACATATCATCAATTTAAATCAAGTGCAGAAGGCTCTGACAGAATATGGCAACACAATTCTCCCAGTGCCAGATTCCCAAAATCATGAATAGCCAGCACCCCCAAGGAGATCTAGTTTAAAAAAAAAAAAAAAAAAAAAAAAAAAAACAAAAACCCTTAGATAGATGGACCCCTCCCCCAACTAATTACTGTTTAAATGGAAAGGGCATTAACAGGTGCTACTTAGCATTTCTACTACAATAAAATTTGCGGAATCTCTACCTGGATATATCCATCAAGAATTAAAACTCTACCCCCTGAGTCTTTATAGGCACACACAGAAGGATAATTCTGTTAGCTCATGTGATCCAATTGAGGGCCTCAAGTTTACCTTTAACAAGCTGAAAAATAAGGAAAATATCTGCCTTTGCCATAAACTTCCACCGAGAGAGGGAGAGAGAGCGAGAGACATTAAGGCTATTTCGTTTCCCATCTTACATGATTTTCTCACTTCTGTCTTCCTTGGGAAACTGCCACCAGCATGAACACCCTCTGGTAAACTTTTCTACCATAATGTCAGAAGGAAAAAATTCTTAGCCCAGGAATCTGTCTGCTACCCTCAGTGACAATCCAGACCACTGATCAGGCTCTAGAGAAACTAAACATTCTTTGGATTACTTAGCTAAAGTCGTCATGGGCTACTGACTAGCACTAGATAACTTACTGGAAGGACATGGCAAAGAATGTACAGTGGAGTCTGCCTCACTTAAGAGTAGGCTCATGAGAAAAAAAATCAAAAGACTATATGATCAAGCCAAGTGGTTCTATGATTTTGTTAAAGGAAGTCCCTCAGCTTCCATCACCTGTGAAGCAGATAAAATTCCTCTCTCTTATCCAACATGATTCTTACTCTTGCTCTTTTTTAACACAGGTATGCTCATCTTAACTGTCAGAATTGTCTCCTCCCGAATCCAATAGTTTCATGTGAAAATGATGGTCATTCAGGGATTCCAGCCATCACTGACAACTGGTGGCACACCTCTAGCTCCTACAATAGAAACTCTATCAGTCAGCAAGAGTTTTTTGTTCCCTGGTCAGACAGGGACAATGCCCAAACACCGTAAGACAAGTTTTGAATGAGTCAAGCATGAAGAAGTTGTAAAAGATGGACCTTCTTCCCTTGACCTCCCATAAAGATTAAGGGATGAGCATCTCTGAGTGGGGATAAGATGATGTGGGCATGGAGGTAGCTAGCAAGGAAAAGCTGAAATTGAAAGCCTCTCCCAACAAGCCTCACCTGCACAACAGCCCTGACTGCACCACTTAATAGTAGCTTCTCTAGTTTCATTGCCGACACCATCGCTGGCCAAAAATAACCAACATGACCGCTGGCTATGTCCCTGCACTGATGTTTAGCTCACTGTAAGGTCATTAAAATTAGCATGACTGTCACACCTACTCCCATCATGCACCTGACACCATGACATTTTTGTTTGCTATTGGGGCAAAGAAATGGGTAGTTCTCAAACTCTGCATCGTTTGAATAATATTCAAGCCCCACCCTAGATAGTATGTCTGTCTCCAGTACTTGTAAAGGGAAGGGATTGAACATTCTTGCACTCCTTCCTGAGTGTGTACTTTCACTTTGCATGTAAATAAACCTTGTTTCTCTGTTCACCTTTACCTGTGTCTTGTCCTTAAATTGCTTTCTGTTTTGGAGATAAGACACTGGACCCAGGCACTCCACAGCACTGTAATTTATTATTAAAAAAAAACTTGGGGGAAAGCAGTTAGCTTAAAGATTAAGACTTGGTTGAGAAACACACATCCCATATCTGAGTGCCAGAGTTTGATGCCTGGCTTTAGCTCAGTGTAGACCTTGGGGGGAAATGGTGATGGTTTAAGTAACTGCATTTCTGGTATCCACTTGGAAGACCTGGATTGAGTTCCTTGCTCCCAGCTTCAGCTTTAGCCTTGCCCTGGTCATTGTAGACACTTGGAGAGTAAACCAGTGGATAAGAGCTCTCCCTCTTCTCTCTCTCTTTTTCTCTGCCTATCTTGTAAATAAACAAATAAATAAATGGTTACTAATTAATTAATTCATTAAAAACTTTGGGGACCAGAACTTAGCCATAGTACAGCAAATTCAATATAAATTTATGAGTATTTCTCACTGAATAGAATATAAACTCATTGAATATAAACTGATGTATTCAGTACACAGATTTGCACATGATAGTGTTTTAATATGAATCAAATACTTGCATTATGATTCAGTTTTCATTATTTTCAGCTTTATTCCCTATTCATATCTTGCCCTTATGAAATAAAGCAGCAAGCAGATTTCTGACAAAATTGTCCATTCCATGGGAGTCCCTGTTTCTTTCCTGCAGATTTTGAAGCCTCATTATGCCTTTTTTTTTTTTTTTTTTTGGTCTTTATTCCCTCTCATTGCTATAAGTGAACCTGTTCAAAGGAAACATCTAAAGGCTAAGAACAATTTTCTAGTCTCCTCTGAGAGCCTGGAATCTGACAGTATATGTGAGAATGATGGAAGAATTCCAAAAGTTAAGAGCAAAGATAAATGAAGGATTATTCCTTAGCTTTTCTCTATGAAGTTGGAAAAGAAATTGGCCTTGCTCTTGGACTTAGTTATGTAGCTGGTGCTCAGTTAATTTACTTTTGAACAGTTTAGTTGTGATCACTGTCTGGACTGTCTTTTCATATGGTGAATAACATGAGAAAAGAAAACAATTACCACAACAATCTCAGCTTCCACAGGTTCAGCTGCTTTTGATATTGTCACAGGGGGTGAGGCTGAAATTTGTGCTTTCCTTTTGGCCTTCTGTGTCTGAACATTGGTGAAGTAGTTGACAGCTGCGAACTCAATAAGAGCGGAGAACACGAAAGCAAAGCAAACAGCTATGAACCAATCCATGGCTGTTGCATATGACACTTTTGGCAAGGAGTGTCGGGCACTGATGCTTAGAGTGGTCATAGTTAAAACAGTGGTGATCCCTAAAGTGAAAAAGAATGAGAAATCTAGTATTAATATTGAAAATCACATAACAAGTTCCTATGAGAACATGTGTGTGGAGCAGATTATACACACTACCTCTGCAAAGTAATTCTCGTTATTTTATTGTATTATAATTACCCATAATTTTTATCATAGGTGTTATCATGTTTGTATAATTCAATACTTTCAGCAGTGTCTTACACACTGCAGTCCCTCATAAAATCATTTGTTGAACTGAGTTCCTTTAATGGTTGAGAGAACTGTAGCAAATCATTACCATTTATTAAAAATAACTTGAGTCTGAACAATTTTAGTTGCACATAATGCCTTTCAACATACTTGAGAGGTCTATCTGGCACAAAGAGTAATATAAACTTAGGTTATTCAATTTTTTTAAAAAATATTTATTTTATTTATTTGAAAGAGTTACAGAGAGAGGAAGAGACAGAAAGAGAGATAGGTGTTTCATCTGCTAGTTCACTCCCCACATGGCTGCAATGTGCCAATCAGAAGCCAGGAGTCAGGAGCTTCTTCCAGGTTTCCCACATGGATTCAGGGGCCCAAGGACTTGGGCCATCCTCTACTGCTTTCCCAAGCCATAACAGGGAGCAGGATCCAAATTGGAGTAACCGGGGCTCGAACCAGCGCCCTCATGGGATTCTGGTGTTGCAGTCAGGGCTTTAACCTACCGTACCACAGCGCCGGACCCAGGTTATTCAACTTTTTAAAGATAAACTTCTAGCACAGTTTTATTGTAAAACATATGTATTTGCAAATTAATATACTCCCTCTCATCTACCAGAAATTTTCCTTCTTAAATAGTGACTTAGGGAATAAAAAAATTAGGAGATATATAACATTGATGAGAAGCATCATTGTATAGATACTCTTATAATTTACAAAAAGAGATTTATTCTAGTATAGTAAGTAAAAAATAAAAACCCACAACTTAGAGATTTATCTGAGATTTCATTTTTGGTATTCTCTATGGAATACTAAATTTATAATCATAAAAATTCAGATAAAATGTGGATTTAATTAACGCTAATATTTCAGTTTCTTTGTTTCCTTCCTTTCTACTTTCTTCCCTTCCTTCCTGGTATCAAAATTAGTTTTGAGAGATCAGTGTTGTGTCAAACCAGGTTAAGCTGCTGCTTGCAACATGGGCATACCATATCAGAGAGTTTGCTCAGGTTCTGTCTGCTCTGCTTTTGATCCAGCTCCCTGCTAATGCACCTGGGAAAGCCACAGAAGATGGCCCAAATACTTGCATCCCTGCCACTCACAGGAGAGATACAGGTGTAGTTTTGGGCTCCTGGCTTTGGCCTGGCTCAGCCCAGGTTCTTGTAGACATTTGGGGAATGAACTAGCAGTTGAAAGATCCTTCTGTCCCTCTCTGCCCCTGTCTCTCCCTCTCTCTGTCTCTATATCACTCTGCCTTACAAATAAAGAAATAAATCAATATTTAAATAAAATATAGTTTTCAGGATGGACATTCAGCATAATGGTTAAACTGCTTAAATGCCCATCTCTTGTATTGGAGTCCATGGGTTTGATACCCATCTTTGTTTCTTAACCTCAGCTTCCTATTAATTCAAACCCCCGGAGGCAGCGGTAACAGTTCAGGTAATTAGGTCACTGTCGCCCAAAAGGAGAGACCTAATCTAAGTTTCTAGCTTTTGGCTTTGGTCCTTGGCAAGGGCCCTTTGGGAATGAACCAGCGAATGGGAGCTCTCTGTCTGTCTATATTTCTTGTCTCTCAAATAAATAACAAAAGCAAACAAGCAAAAAATGAAAAGGTGGTAGTCAACGTATACAGTGTAAGCAGAATTAAATGTTGAGGTTGGCAATTTTGTATGGTTCAACTTAATAAAAGTAAGATGCAATATATATATACAAATAGGTTCGATCTCCTGGCTTTTTCTTTTCCTGGATTTACATGTCAGCTTTTTAACCTTTCTGCTTTTCCTTAGTTATAAAAAAACAAAGCAAGATAAAACAGTAAAATAGGGCACATGGAAAGCATGGGGAACTCATCAGAATTTTTGCTGAGACAATTTTTTTGTTGATTCACCACACAACTTGCGATAAGATGAGGGTCATTTTACACGATACATGTGTTCTAATGCAATTGGAATCTATAGCCTTTGTGGATTGAAAAAGGATCCTGATGTGAATTTTCATCCACAACACACAATCAATGAGAGGTGGAGGGTGGATGAAGTGGAATACAAAGCAGTAGGCATACCAAAGACAGTTCTTGCTGGGACGGATTCCTTATTAATCCAGAAAGACACCTGAGAAAGAATGACTGTCATAATGCAAGGAGTGTATATCTGTATCATGAAGTATCCCATCTTCCTTTGCAAATGGAAATAAACTGTCATTATTACGTATTCACCTGTTGGAAGACAAGTACATCAGTTTTATTGCTGTTGACAGTCTGCAAAAAGAATGCTGCTGAATCTAAATCTTGCAGGGCTTTAAGTTATCATGGGATGAGAGAAAACAAGCAAAGGCATTTTTCAATGTATGAGAAAGCTGCTTGATCAGCAGATGATAGAGCAGAGAGACACAGCACTTCATGGTTTTCAGTGCAATTCTTTGTATCATATATACTCACAAAACTACCTATTCCAAGATTACATGAGTCTTTATGTGCATCTGGTTGGGAAATAAATTTTAAGGACAGCTATTCATTACTTCAAAACAGGAAGTATGGCTGAGAATGGCAAATGCAAAGTAAAAAGAAATAGATATGTGCGCCTATGTCATCTTTCAGGGATTGGTCAGTTTCTCACCTGTGTTAGATTTAATTGTTTCACTAGATACTGTTTGTCCAATCAGATCATACTGTAGGAGGCTTGAGGATTCTTCTGGGACTTCTACTGAGTAAAGCGGCCCTTTTTTCCATGTATATATTATTTCACTCTTGGGGTAAGCATCTGAGATTTTTAAACAAATGTAGTTATCTTTTTTTTTTCATTAAAAGCAATGTTATCTATATAGCAAAGAAATGCAACATAATTTTTAAAAATATTTTTCTTTAATTTCACTGACTAAAACATTTATTTGTGATATTAACATTGGCATTGAGTAAGTACATTTTTGGAATCATATTGAAAATATCATGGTGATATTTTTCTCTTTCTTTCCAGTCTCTGGTTAAGACCAAATAATTATATGATTTGATTGCATTATTGAACTCAAATTTTTTTTTTTGTAACTCACAACTCCCAAACTTGAGTGGACAAGCATGCCCATCCATAGGAAAGTTAACCAGCCTCATGGGACAGTCAGCATTGATGGTAAGCCTAAGGACAGTGAAATAAATGGTCTGAATTAGTATAATGGATGAACCATTTATGAAGAGAAAAGAGAAATGGAAAAACCTCACCTCATGGTGTATAGAATGGTTCCATTCTGCATTATTCTGAAAAGTTTATTAGGGGTTGTCATGTTGTGAGCAATTGACTTTTTGCCATTCCTGAAAAAAGTGTCAGGTGTCCAGATTTTACTGACCATCAAGTTATTCAAACTCAGAATCTCAGTTGGTCCCCCAAACTTCAATCTCTCATCAGTCCAAGTCTGGCGGAAGAAAACATCCATTGTATACTCCTACATAAAAAATAAATTGCAGCAGGTTGGGGAGATGGTTTGTTACAATTTATTCACTAGCTTATAAAACTTAATTGTAAAACGAGCAAATAAACAAATTTTATGACAATAACTTCCAGTAAATGTAAATAATTATCTTTTTAAAAAAATTCATTTATTTCTTTGAGAAGCAGAGTTACAGACAGAGAGAGAGAAAGAGGCAGAGAGAGAGATCTTCCATCCATTGGTTCACTTCCTAAATGGCTGCCAATAGCCAGAGATGGGCTAATCTGAAGCCAGAAGCCAGGAGCTTCCTCTGGGTCTCCCACATAAGTACAGGGGTCCAAGCACTTGTGCCATCTTCCACTACTTTTCCAGGCCATAAGCAGAGAGCTGGATCAGAACAGGAGCAGCTGGGACTCGAACTGGTGCCCATATGAGATGCTGGCGCCATAGGCGGAGGCTTAGCCTACTATGCCACAGTGCTGGCCCCCTAAGTAATAATTTAGTCATCAGTAAATCATTCTATAATGAGTAAATTATGACTTTAATGAAGCATTTTTGTCTCAAACTTATTAAGAGTTAGTTTTGTGGCTGGCACTGTAGCATGGTGGGTAAACCACCGCCTGTGGTGCCGTTAACCCATATGGGTACAGGTTCGAGTCCTAACTACTCCACTTCTGATCCAGCTCTCTGCTAATGTGCCTGGGGAAGCAGCAAAGGATGGTCCAAGTGCTTTGGCTCCTGCACCCACCTGGGAGACCCAGAGGAAGCTCTTGGCTCCTGGCTTTGGATCAGCACAGCTCCACCCATTGCTGACATTTGAGGAGTGAACCAGTAGATGGATGATCTCTCTTCGTTTCTCTATCTGTAACTCTACCTTTCAGATAAGTAAATAAATCTTTAAAAAGGTTAGTGCTGTGTTGTGCAAACTACCCTATTGCATTTCAAACTGCCCTCACATTTCTTCTTCTGTCATTTATCTCTCCATCTATCAACCTATAAATATTTTGAAGAAAAATAGATGAAACTATCTACAGTTTAGGCTTTGCTGGCCTACCTAAGTCAGGCTAACGAGCCCATTTAGTACCTAATTCATTTCCAAAGAGGCCTCAGGTCACCTCCATGCTTACCAGTAAATTTCCAAAGATTGAAAAACTTTATTTTGAAAAACACACTGTGGCTTCACATAATTATTTAACATTGTTCTCAGAGAATGTAAAGGCAAATGTTAGCATAACTATTCTAAACAAAGGATCATTTAATTATTAATAATCAAAATTATAAGTTTTAATATGTGGCTTTTATGAAATAACATTAAAATTTTAGGAAATATAACTGCTAAATAAATAAAAATTTATGACAAATAACAACCTGCAATTAAATCAACACACTGTCAGTAATTGTTTTGCTTGCTTTATAAATTCCTTGATGAGACTTAATACTACATGGTGATTATATTTTTAAAATATAATTTGACACACAATAAATGTACCCATATAATAATGATCCAGTCTACAATATTGTACAAATAAACTTTAAAAAGGGACATGTGCATGAAATAAAATTCCAAGTATATCTATATTTCAGTGATTGTGTTTTTCTATATTTTGTGTATTTTAAGTGAGACAGTACTTGAACAAAAAGTATAATATTGAAATAATGTGGGATTTTGAATAATGCTGAGTCTCTTTCTGTCTCAAGTGTGAATTTTTCCCTTAGGAAGCCCTTCCTTTCTGTACCTTCCCCTCTGCTTATTTGTCTCTTCTTTTCATCCCTCCCCCTTTCCTTCTTGTTTTTTCTTTTTTCTATATTATCTTCTTCTTTTCTTGTCCATTCAAAAAGAAGAACATGAAAAACTCTCCAATGACTATTTACATAGGAACTACATTACCCTAAAAAATGTAATGATGCATCTCTTAAATGATGGTTATATTTATTTCTGCATTCGTATTTATATTTATTGTTGTGGGAAATGCTCTCTGAGAACTGTGAAAGAATATTGGGATGCATTTTGTTCTAGAAAACTAGTTAAGGTTTTCATTGCCACTTACTATAAATACCCTCTTACGAATCCTACAGCCATCTGTACCTGGAACAGGGTTCCCAGAACACCTACTGGTCCATGCAACATAGAAAAGGTGGAATGCATCAGCCTTTCCAAATGACTTCCTGTATGGTTTTAATAAAATATGCTGATAAGGATGTTACTTACAAAAGGCAGTTATGTTTCTGTTTTCATAGATATCCTCAATATACTCTAGGATGGCATAGGATCATTGTTTTTTCCTACTCCAACAAATTTATTAGCATTTCATGAAGAAGTAGGAAAATGTTCTTTATTTTGGAAAGAATTAGTGCATGATATGTGAATGGAAGCGAGAAGATAATCTTAAAAAGTCTTTCAGCTTGAAATGTTCAAGCATGGCCCTTTGAGAAGCATGAAGAAGATTAAGACAGTAATCTCCCCTAATGGCGGTGCCCTCTCAGCGTGAATACACATATTGCATCAGGAATCTGGGACCAAGCTTGAAGGCAATGAAAATTATCATTATTTCTGAAACTCCACTTTTCTAAGTAAAAATATCCAAATCACTCAGAGCTCACTCACCATCTCCACATCTGACACGGGCCCAAAACTGGTTACATAAATGTCTGTTTTGACTTCAGTGACAGCACCTGAAATTAGCCCAGAGGAACGGGGCAGTTATCACCAGTGATGCCAAGGGGACTGAACTTAGATTCAATCATAAAACCCCTTCTCATAGCCAGAATCTGCAACCAATCCTGAAGAACTCCAATGTGGGGAGTGCTTAGTTCTTTCAACTTTGAAAATTCGGAGTTTTATTTTGAATTTATTCTATTGAAATGGGAGGAATATTGAGGTATTAAAGAGAACTTAGTTAATATTATATAAAATAATGAATAATAAATATCACTTATTAATAGTTTCAATGGAGCCAATGCTAAGCAAAGTGTTTTTCATGGAGAATTTTATTCTGTACTCATCCAACTCCATGAAGCAAATAGGTACACTAGAATGAAGATACTGAAACTTAGATGGTTCAAGGAGCTTGCAGAGGTCATTGTTTGAAGGAAAGTCAAAAGCTGGATGGGAACATAGACATAGCCTCTCTTCAGTACCCCCAAACCTTACTATTCTGACAAACTAACCCCTATACAATTCCGCTGGGTCTTAGAAGGGCATTAAGAGAGACTACAGGTGTTTTCTCCAACAATAATGCAACTTCTCACCTCCAAATCCTGGCCGCAGACGATTGTCATAGCCTTCAAGCAAGCTGTCCAGGATCCGACTGATATTTTCTGAGTACAAGTTGCCCTCATCTTCAAGTTTCCCCATGGCATTTTCCAGCCTGTAAGTAGAGTCAGTGGTCCTCACTCCTGGCCTCTGCGAGGTTAAGACGTCTGTCTGTCCCATCCTAGTCCACCCTATCCCAAATGCAGGCTTCACTCCCTCTGGCTGTTTCCATGATTTGATAAAGAAGCTTCCCAGTGGATGATTGTCCCTCTTCCCTATGTGCTAAAAGAAAAATCAGGAAAAAAAAAATCTTACTCACCATAGAATAATGCATAGCCAGGTCAGAGGTGATGCCATCCTACGGCGCACTGAAATGAGGAGTTCAACCTCCTCCTAGCTTCTTCCTCCCCTCCCAACAATCTCTCCTTTGCCAATCAACTAGAGAAATCTTCCAGATCCCTCATATCCCTGCTCCTGTTTTGCTTCCAGTCAGTAATCCAATAGGTAAAGAGGTTCACCAGGAAACTTTGAGGGTTCCCTTTGCTCTCTTCTTTCTAGTTCTATTTTTTTTTTTTTTAAGGTGGAACAAAGTAGTTTGTGGTCTTAGACTACATCCTGTGGACACTCAGCCTCCTCTGACAGACTCATTTGGGGAATGAGAGTCTGGAGGGACGGTGCATGGTCAAACAGCAGTGACAATAATCGAATAAGGCATTAGGGGAGATTAAGAGGAAGAAATCCACTGCTAGTTTTGGCATGGAATTAGCAGAGCCTGTGAGAAAATCTGGAAAGCGGTGGCATCTTGCTGATTGAGATTATGTTCCAGTGGGCTCAGCATTTATTATTTCCATGGTTCACAGAAGGATTCCTATACGGCTCTTACTGCTTGAAAAATTGAACAATATTGAGACCCTCTTGGACTATTGTTCTCATTTTCATCAACTTTATAGTCTGTAGGCACACCTGTCCATCATATCTTAAAAATACCTCTTACTGTTTGTTTATCAGCATTTACAATAGACCAGAACAATTCCTGGCCACCTTACTGTTAGGTATTTTTAAAAGCATTTTTCTGATTCCTTCTGCCAATGGAGTGCCATCTCAAGCTAACACATAAATGGGTTTTATGCTATCTTTAGAAATCTGGCCAAAAATGCCTGTTTGATATTTCCCATGCAGAAATACCACAATATTAAATATTAACAGATGTAGTTAATGATGATTTTACCAATTCTGCTTTACTAGGCTTGCTAAAGGTCAAAAGTAAAATATCTGAATCCAAGAAATAGCATTCTTTCCCGGTCCTGATAAGAGAAAGTTGTAGTAAGTCTTAAGCATTAAAATTTCAACCTTAATACAATAATAAAATTATAATAAGTAAAAACTTATTAAGTTCAGAAATATAGGATCAAGAATCAAATGTCTCAATCCGTCTGTATTTTTCTAAATCTAAATTCTGCAAGACCATAATAACTATTGCTGTCATACAGCACAATCTTAAAAATCACACCTGAAAACACTACATAAATCATTTGAAAAACATTTCAGTCAGTTAGCTATAGCCAAGAAGAAACAACGTAAAACAGAAGGAGAACAAAATTTCCTGTGATTTTAAAATTTCTGAAAGTCAAGATTACATGGAATTTTCTGGTTACCTATCAAAAGCCTGAATTCTCTCCAGCATCCATGGCAAGAGGTTTTTAGCATCTGTTTTCTCACGTTGTTTTACCTGCGCCACAAGCAAAATTGTACCCTGCTCAGAGTCCTCATCTTTGAAGCCATGTGTAGTGATTCCTCAGGTGACAACTGCATGGAAGCAGATTAAATGAAGATACCTAACATATTTTTTCCTCAAACCTTTTCCTGTTCATTATAGGATCTGATTTCTACATTTTTTTCTCTTTCCTCTCACTTTCCTTTAAGGTTACTCCCATTGGTGATCATTATAACATTGATTTGACATTACTTGGAACCTCTAAATATCTGGAATATATGATGCTATTAAATTATTATTATTATTATTTTCATTATTACTATGACATACTCTGCCCAAGTAAATTACTCTATATTCATCCTTGTTACCTTGTTAGATTTGTATAATTTTTCTTTTATCAAAATGTGTATCACCCATCTCTAATGTATGTCCTAGAAGAAAAAAGTTAGTGAAGTTTTTTGAGCTAGATTTTATTCACATTGACAAAAGTGATCATGGGTGAGATTATGTATGATTACATATATTCCTACAGAACTCGAATGTTTTTTCTAATTAAAATTATTGGTTCAATAAGGAACAAATAAAAATTTCCATTTGCCTCCAAAAAAGATTAACATACATGATTTTATATTTAACACATTTTAATTAGTAATCAATTATTGAAGGAGAAGGAAGATTTCTTTCTATTCTCAATAGGAGAGGAATGTCATCAAGTTAGAAGAAATAATAAGTTATGGAATCTTAGTGATTCATCTCTGTGGACCTCACATTTAAATGAATGTTCTAGACCTGGAGATCTCTAAGGTACTCAAGTGGTATAATTCTGTGGATTCAAATTAATGCTCATATAAATGCCTATATGTATTGTAGTCCCTTGTTCACACATTCCTGGCAGAATTGGGACAGACAGGGTCTATTAGCAGCACTGTTAATTGGATTGCAATTGTGATTTTCTCTTATTACTAACAAGAAAAGAGAGTTTAAGATATAACAGTGACTATGGTTTGGGGAGACATACAGTCATTTATGTATGTCTGCACATTTTGACTGTTGCATATTTTGACTGTGCAAACCAAGAATCAGAACGCTGCCTTTCTTATTTAGATAATTAACTTCTTCTAGAAAATTAGAGAAGATTCACCTCACACATGTCCATTTCATAGCTATTTCTCTACAATATGTTTTCTTTTTTGAGTCATTTTTGACAACCACTTGGCTACTGATTACCTCCACTGGGGAATCTGAAAATATGTTCTACAGCAATACTGCTTGTTATATGCTGCACTCCTCAGAATACAGTGGAAACAGAATCATACTTTGTGGGTCCTGTACTTTAATTCCATGAACTACCATGATCATCACTACAGCTTTGTGCCTATGAAATGACTTATAAAAGATTAGAGAATATTAGGGTAAATTATTGCAGATAAAGAGCAAATTTGGCATCAGACATGAATTGGTACTTTCCATGGTACAAAAGTACCAATAAACACATACACACATGCATGGATACACACATGCATACATTCACAAATAAAGAAACAAACTATTCAATGTACAAAAATACCTCTTGGAAAACATATACTTGCATTTTCCCTTTGTAAGTTCCCATAGATTTTTCCAAAGAACAACATCAGATTGTTCTTTTCATATAAATTATGTCCTATTGTACCCAGGGTGGAGTATACATCAGCATGTAGTATATAGAGGCTAAGCATACTTAATTATATTTTTAATATTTTATTTATTTTATTTGAGAGATAGAGTTATAGACACACAGAGAGACAAAGAGAAATATGGCTGCAATGGCTGGAGCTGAGCAAATCCAAAGCCAGGAGCAGGAGCTTCTTCCAGGTCATCCATGCAAGTGCAGGGGCCCAAGAACTTGGGCCATCTTCCACTACTTTCCCAGGCCACAAGCAGAGAGCTGGATCAGAAGAGGAGCAGCCAGGATATGAACCGGCACCCTGTATGTATGCCAGCACTGCATACCAAGGCTTAACCTGATAAGCCACAACACCAGCCCCAAATATCTTATAAAGTGAAATACATCCACCAAAATAATAATAATAATAATAATAATAATTACCTGGCTTTAGGTAGCAGTAGTACCAAGGTTAAGAAGACTTGATCTAGAATAACACTACTCAAATTTCAGCAAAATATTCCTGGATGGAGTGTGTTAATCTCTTGAGTCAAACCATTCCAAAATATCTCCACTGCCCTTGTAAGCCTTTATTTTGCCTTTATAATATATTCAGTACAGCTACATAGTAATGCATACAAAACTACCTATATTTTCGAGATAAATAATGTCAAATGAGTAAACTATTAAGGAAGTTACTGCAAGTAACACACTGGAAACATATATTTGCAAATTTTTGAAAAAAACTTCTGTAAATAAATGAAAATCATACTGATAACTCTACTTGACATATGCATATACAATATGTTTATAAATCACATTAAAAATAGCCAAGAACATGAACTTTGACCATGATTGATAGTGAACAATGAAATATAAATGAAACAGCAACTTTTTAAATTTATAAATAATTAAGAATTCTAACAGATTGTTGTTCAGTGTAGTGTTTCCCAATGGGATATACTATTTGGATTTGGAGAAAAGAAATTCATGATTAGATGGAATTGCCCTACATCTTTCTGGACACTTAGTGGCTCTTACTCTGTCCCATTAAATATTGTTAATACTTTCACTTCATGGTAAGAACCAAATATACCTTCTAAATTTCAAAATACTTCCTAGGGAGGAGGTATTATCTATGATTGGAAATGTCGACTGCATACCATGCTGGAATTAGACAACAGTTTATGATTAAAGCTAAAATATAACACAGACTCCAGAGGCTAAGTTCAAAGAAACTCCTGATATTTCAGCCAGCAATATTTCTGCATCCAAGAATGCATAGAGAAGTTTAAAGTGTATTGGCAAAACTATATTCCTCAACCCATTCCCTTCCCAAATTAAGAATGTAATTGTAAAGAGGAAAGAAGATTCAGATCTTTGTGGGTGGTATTTGCTTAATGACGGACTTTCTATCACTTTACATAGTAGGAAAGAGGTAGTCCTCTCCCTGACAAGTGAGGGAGACTCTAAATAATTCATGGCAAAAAATTGAGAATACTGGATGAACCAAATGATTTCTCTTTTCTTGGCAATTCATAGGCTGCGAAAGAACACAAATGTCAAAGTAGAGGTGCCAGTGAGAAATGTGATGGAGTTTGACATTACTTTACTGAAGAATGGTAATGTTCATGGCCTTAGAAACTGTTATACCCACCAATATACAGACAGTCTTCTACAACAACAAATTTCAGAGGTTTGACAGCTGTGTGTTGCAGGGCCAATAAGAAAAGAGGCAACTCGCTCCCTTCCAGTTCTTGGAAGAATTGCATTGTGTAGAAGAGAATGCCAGTATCTTTAATGGCTCTCTGTGAAGGAAAATATAGAGAAATCAAAGAGCAAAAGAAATTACCATACCTGGTATGAAAGAAAAGACCCATTACCATACCAATCCATGCAAGAAGAGGCCAACCTTGAAAACAGGTAATTGGACCATGTAGCAACCGGAAAATGAATTGTCCATCCAAATTATTGTACAGGGAGCTAGAGCAAATCTGAACAGAAATTTTATCTCAGCTGCCTACATATTTTTAAGAAAGAATCTTAAGTGTGAACAATGAAGGATGTGTTAAGATGGTCTTTGTGAAGCCTGCACTGTGGTGCAACAGATTAAGCCATCGTTTGCATTGCCAGCATCCCATATGGGTGACTGAGTCCTGGCTGCTCCATTTCTGATCCAGCTCCCAGATAAGGTGCCTGGGAAAACAGTGAAAGATGGCCCAAGTGCTTGGACCATTGCACCTATGTGGGAGACCTGGAAGAAGCTCCTGGCTCCTGGCTTTGGCCTGACCCAGCCCTGGCTGTTGTAGCCATTTGGGGAATGAACCAGTGGATGGTAGATCTCTCTGTGTGTCTCCTTCTCTCTCTCTGTAATTCTTTCAAATAAATAAATAA